TATAAAAATGTTCTCCAAGGTTCATAGATCATTTTAGCATCATTAATTCATAATTTTAACATCAATTTCATGGTTTATGATTCTTAGTTTTTCAAGCATGTCAAACTCAAAACTCAACCAAATGACCATCTATGAACGTAGAATCGATCTATATGAGCATTCTAGTCATTAGATATATCTATGGGCTTACCTTGAAGCGTAAGGGAGGTTTTGAAGATTTTCCGGCGAAACTTCCGGCGACGAATACTCTCTGCTCCAGTGACCTCACACAAAAGTGACAACACCAGGGCACTCCTCTCTCAGCAAAGAACAATATAGAAGCAAAATTGAATTGTTTTGGTGAAGAATTAAAGGAGTTGTGTTTGTTTATATAGTGGAGAAAAGGGAAGAAGCCAACTCCTATTGCTTCTACGTAATTGGGATCGACTGATTGCACAGGAAGGGAACATGGCGCCGTTTCATGATTAGTTCCCTGATTGGGACTAATTTGGTCCCAGTCGGGGTACACTTTTTGGTCCAACTTTCTCCGATTTGAATTCCGTTTGCACCATTGCGATCGGACAATCGAACTCTATTCAACGATATAATTTTTATATTTATTTGAAATACTTTTTCCGACAACATATTTTTGGGTGTTTGACTTTGACAGAGTCAAAATTGAAATAATTGATATACAAGTAGAATTACTCTCATATTCAATCAATATTAATAAATTTAAATATTTATTTCAATAAATCATTTTACAAAAGTTCACATCTTTGACTTTTTTCTCATTTTTATACAAATTACATATTTAAAATGTCATAACTGAACCTCTTTACATCAGATTTATTCATAAAATATGATGTTGGATCCGTCTCTTCGAGACCTATCCATAAAAGTCAATCTTAACAAAAATCATTGACTCCAAAAATTCCTTCATTTTTGGTCAAACATAGAAATAATGCCTTGTTGAGTGAAAATATGGTTTCTAAAAATACTTTTATAATAGAATAACTTTTAGACCATGTTTTGGGGCGTTACATATGTAATCGTCTTCAAGAGGTACATTTAAATCGGCTTTGCATGAAGAATAAGAACTTAAGTTCTCCTTTTCACCTCCTAGAACAAGAGATAGGACAAATTCATTTACCATTCAACAAACTCAAGCGTGGGTACTAAAAGTGCACTATCCTCAAGAAAAGAATATTTTTTTCATGTTCTCTAATAGGTTCGATCAGATAAGTAAAGTCCACTCTACTCTTGAGGGAATAACTTGTTTCTAGAATCAAGAATTCAGGCGGGATTTCATGGCAGCAGTTCCATCGATCAGTTGTCTAAGTTTTTCATCTCCGATTTTGATTATTCAATCAGAAAAGTCATGTGTGTCCTTTTCTGTGCAAGAGAGTGTAGATTAATGCAATCTCATATTCTAGGTTAATATATAAATTTTACTCCCTCCGTCCCAGAGTATTTGTCCACTTTCATTTTTACACACCATCCAATACACTTCTTTAACCATTTTATCTTGTAATTTGTATATTAAAAAATTATAGAAATTATATATTAATAATCTATATGTTGAGACAAATCAAACAAGATCACACATGACTATATTTAGGCTTACACATTGGGAGAATTTGATGAGTCAAAGTTTTTAGATGAACAGTTCCAAAAGTCAAAAGTGAACGAATATAGCGGGACGGAGGTAGTATAATACAACCACATTTGTGAGGAATTGGTGGTAGCACCTACAATTTCTCTCTCAAAGCTATGAGTAAAACTGAAACATGGTACTTGGACGAACAAAATTCTTAGCATATTCCCAAATTCTAACTTAGCAACCTTTTTTATACCTTCAGTAAGTTCTTTATCATCAGTAAATGACCCCAATGCTTCACATGCTTCCTCGTATGCGTTATGTAGAACATTGTTAACTCTCCTCGAGATCGTATAACTTATAGCTAGACAGTGAATAGTATTCTAAAATAGTATAACTCTCTGGTTTCTGTAAGCACGTATTGTAGCCTGCCAATTGATAGTCTTTGTTGCATCGAAACCATTTCCGGACTTTGTGGTTGTACACAAAAAGATCTAGAAATTCTTTGGATACGTCAAATTTTATCCCGCATTATGCTGTGTATTGGAAATCACCCAAGCTTCAAACATTGAAGCTTTGCCAATGTTTTCTTCGACAACATCTTTTAGTTTTTGTTGATCTGTAAAGGTTGGGAGATGGAAATTCAACATTGAGTGTGTCCACCACATTAATTTACGTAGTATTTTCTTACATTGACTATAATATCTTATACATACAATTAATTAATACACAAAGATAATTGTTTTATTATCATCTCCAAAGACATTAAAAACATGTGTTATAGAAAATAGATCAATTCTCTTCTGTCTCTTACGCACATGAAAGCACGACGAATTGTGTTATTATTTCCAGATTGGAGCACTATATATTATTTTGGGAAAAATCACTCGAAAAATTAAATATTTAATTTAGAATAATAAAAATATCATTTGGCACATGACAGAGTAGATTCTTTCTCGAACATGTTCAATGTTGCAAGGTTATAGCCGATGATGACCTCTCCCCTTCTGTATTGGTGATAACCATCAGAAAATAAATATTGTAAATATTTTTGTCTAAAAACTCTAAACATAAAAAAGCTTTATTATCCACTAATATTTGTTACATTGCTGTCGATGGTCAGATGAATAAATAAGCAGGAATATTACTTACGTATTTTATTTGGACATAGATGTCAAAATTGGCATGTCTTTTATTTTCAAGAATTTTAATTAATAATATTTAGACTTATAACAATTAATATTATACCATTTGTTTTAGGTGCAATTGTGGTTTTGAAAAAATGAGTCAAGAAAAAGGTTTACATAACTAGAATGAATTTTGTACCATCTGATTCACGATTACTCTTAAAGTTTTAGAAAAGACAATTGCCGATGTTTTATATATGTTTTGCTACGACTTTTAACAAAGTCGAAGTCAAAGTCAAACATTATCATTTGTTGGATTATTTTTAATCAATTCAGTGTTCACTTATGACAACCTTTGTAGTGCTATTTCACGAGTAAAAGGAAAGGCGGAATTAAGAATATTAATTCTAAATGATAACGAAAATCATTGCAACTACACCAAAATTGTTGTATACCCAAAAGTCTTTCAAAAATATAGATTTAGAAAATATTTGAGATGTTTACTTTTGAATTTTTATATAACTAATATAAGAATTTCCATTACCAAATATTTAATACTAAATTATTTATTTTATTTTGTTTCCAATGTCTATAGTAACAAAAACATATTAGATATATTTTCATAAATTCAATATAAAATATTGCATTGAAGTTAATTTACAGAAGTGTCAAAATATTCATGCAAACTCGTGCGTGGCACAGATTAAAATACTAGTAGATTGAAAAATGAGAGATTGAGAATATTTGAGATTTGAGAGATAGAGAGTTGAGGGACGATGCCGGTACCAGTTCCCGGCACTGATGTTACGTACCGCACGACGTTGACGGTAGCTGGTACCGGCGGTACCGTTGCCGGTAACAGTACCGTACCGGTACCGTGCCCAGCCCTAGGTACAAATAACTTTATCCACAAGACTAAGCACTACTACTACACTAGCAATAACCTGTACAACCAAACAGTTACATAGTATAGTTAGACCTACCAACAGGACTCTTAAGAGGAGTCAATCTGTTGAGAAAGGTGTATAAATGACAGACCGGCATGGGCAAGTAGGTGAAATCACATGAGTGTTCATATTAGTTGCCTGTACAAAGAACACGCATGTTATGTTGGGATCTTTTTTTCCTCTAAAAGTCCATGAGTGTTCATATTAGTTGCCAGTACAAAGAACAAGCATGTTATGTTGGGATCTTTTTTTTCTTCTAAAGTCCTACAATAGGTCTCGTTTTCTCTAGTCTATTTTTCTCTTCATTTTTTCAGTTTTTCATGTCAAAATCCCATCATTTCCCACTTGAAACTGAGGGAAGTAAGATGTGATTGGGCAAAAAGAGAAAATGGAAGATACAGAGTTTAAAGCAAAGCCTCGGCACAGAACAGGGATATAAAAGTATGGAGTATTTCACGAATCACAAAGTAGTTTTAAAAATCTAATGCCTAACGAAAATGTGATACATTTAATGCAATTTTATTCATTCTTCAAAGTAATCAGTCACTTTAATAATGCAAACTCGACAAAAACACAAACATTGTTCTAGCATCAATGTACATAAGCTGAAACATCATAAACAGAATTCACCAAACATCAAACTCTAGTGGCAACCACATGGGAGGGAGGATTTTAATGTTACCATACTGGTTAATGACAGGGATAATGGATAAGAGAAAGGTTGTGATGACCCTTTGTGTAGTTTCAAAGAGCAGAGGTAATAAATAATTTGCAATTTTACTCTGAAATCATGAATTTCTAGGTCAAACTGGAGGAGTGAAATTCTTAGAGCTTGTGTTTTATTTCTTTATCGTAGAACCCTACCCTCTAATATTTATGAAAAAAATGAGGGAACAGAAGGGGAATTTATTCCCTCCCCTCCTCCAATCCTCACCAACCAAACATACCCGAGACCTACTACTGTAACTAGGGCTGTTCATCGGTCCAGAACCGGACCGAACCGGACCGGACCGAAGACCGAATCAAGATAAAAAAAGGACCGAAGACCGGACCTATTACTTGTCGGGTTCAGACCGAACCGGACCGATATTAATTGGACCGAACCGATTTGGACCGAGAAGACCAAATTGAGAATGTAAATAGAAAAAGCAGGCCACAAAATAGCCAAAACATCAACTCAAAATCCTGCAAATAACATTTCTATTAAAAAAAATTCATAATAACAATAAAAAGTACCCTAAAGTAAGGTGTAGGGTACTGAAAAATGCAAATTTGCAATGGACAGTGGACTAGCAGTGATTGATAATTTGAAAACTTGAAATTAAAAATAAAAAATCAGTAAATCACCGATGGTAATGCAATCCTCATCTGAAGTCGGCTGGAGTGCGGGACTTAATACATCCAAAATACATATCGAAAACAAAGGTGTCGGCGGGAGTCGTTTCGCTTCGCTGTTGGCCGGCATTGCTGCATCACCGGCGTTAAATTAACAAGACGATGGATGTTAGAATTAGGGTGTGTAGAAAACTGATAGGAAGAACAGATTGGTATGCAGAATAGAATTTTTATTGATGTAAAAAACTGTACAAGAATATTTGTGTTCACTAAATATATATAGAGAACAGACCAACATGACTTTTACTAACCAACACAACTATTACAAACCAACACACCTATTAATAATAGAAACTACCCATAACTGCCTTTTAGAAACTTCCCTATTGTTTTTTATTTAAATTAATTAAATATGTAAAACACACTAAACGACACCACACTAATTGACTCTATACTAACTGACCCAAACATCGACTCATTACCCATTCGGTTATATGTGAACAAACCCGATTAAATCTAACAATCACGCCCTTAATCGTTGTTTGTTCACACTGATCTTCACAATAACGTTGGTTCATCATCTTCAATCAAGTTTGCAATCTGTTCCTTTTGATCCCATTTTGGACATTCGTTCAAAAATGCCCTAACTCATTGCACTTGAAGCACCTAACGTGACTCTTATCCCGCTTAAACCGACCATCATCATGACCTTTCCCGGACCCCCGACCTCTACCTCGGCCACGCCCAAAGTCTTCTCGGTTTAAGCTCCAGCAACCACAATGCTCACATTTGTGCTCCTGAACCTTCTCTTTTCCATCACCTTTAGTGAAGAGTAGTTTACCATGTGTATCTCCTTCATCAGTTGGCCTTTTGATGCGTTCCTCGAATGCTTTCAATCTTCCAACCGCTTCTTGAAATGGCATTGCGCTAATGTCGGCAAACTGTTCAATTGCAGCAACGATCTGCATGAACTTTTCAGGTACAGAACCCAAAAGCTTTCGAAGCAATCTTTTGTCTTCAAATGCAGACCCAAGGTTGTTTGCTTGTGTTGCAAGTTGACTAATTTTACCAGCAAAATCATCAAGTGATTCATTGTTCTTCATCTTTAGATTCTCAAAATCTGATTCAAGTGTCTGTAATCGCGCCGCTTTAACCCTGTCAACACCAACAAAGCGAGTCTTCAAAGCATCCCAAATTTCTTTTGCTTCAGTAAACTGGGCAACTTGTAACACGANTTGGAACCGTAAAAGATAGTGAACTATTCTCCCTTGTAGTCACAATCTGCCTATTGTCTTCCATTGCACGACTTTAATTCCTATGACAATTTTCACAAAATTCTTAGACTTTGATTCCTTCCTGGGTCGTAAGCCACCTGCAATCGACCGACCATCAACCAGAAGACAAGCCCCTGCTTTTCCGTCTTCCAAGCCGCTAAACGAAAGCTACCCCGCTTATTCGTTTTTCCTGCGCCTTTTGGTTGGAATTCTTCTGCCAAAGAAAAAAAAACTAGCAACTTGATGTTCTTTTTCTAGGCGAGGAAGAAATCTGGTCAAAGATTTCTGATCTGTTGTCGAGGAAATTGAAATGCTCTGGCGGATCCCTTTTGTGGTAGATCGTACACCCCCTGATCGCAATTCACACCGCTCCGATACCAAATGTAGAAAACTGATAGGAAGAACATATTGGTATGCAGAATAGAATTTTTATTGATGTAAAAAACTGTACAAGAATATTTGTGTTCACTAAATATATATAGAGAACAGACCAACATGACTTTTACTAACCAACACAACTATTACAAACCAACACACCTATTAATAATAGAAACTACCCATAACTGCCTTTTAGAAACTTCCCTATTGGTTTTTATTTAAATTAATTAAATATGTAAAACACACTAAACGACACCACACTAATTGACTCTATACTAACTGACCCAAACATCGACTCATTACCCATTCGGTTATATGTGAACAAACCCGATTAAATCTAACAGGGTGACGGCTAGGGTTCAAGACTTAGGGTCGAAACCACCTCCATCATCCTCGAACTCTCCTTTCTCTCGCTCCCTGGGCATTTTCGGATCAAATATTAGCTCTTCCCCTTCTGATTTCATGCTCTCTTGCGTCAAAGAAGAAAGAGAAGAGAATGAATGGATAACAAATGAATGGTTTAGGTAAGGCCAGAGGGTGAGATTTCTACTTGGAGGGATAAGTGGATAACACATACGGAGTAACTGACATAATTAAGTAGTCGGTCCATTCGGTCCAGACCGAAATAATATCGGGTTTGGACCGGATCGGACCGAAACCCGAAAACTCAAATAATCAAGACCGAAGACCGACCCTAAATATATTCGGTCCGGGTTTGGTCCAGACCTAACAGTCCGGTTCGGTCGGGTTTTTCGGTCTAGACCTAAACTTGAACAGCCCTAACTGTAACCCAAATGTTGGCCCCAATTTTGCCCATCATTTTACGGGCAAACTTTCATAAGCATTAGGGAAAGGGAGAAATAGCTTTTTAACACACGCAAAGAAGGGACAAAATACCATAGAAGTCCATGTATTATATAAAAACGTGCAAAGTAGGCTTTGTACTCGAAATTGAAGCAATTTAGTCACTACACTATTCCTTTTTGTTCAATTTGGTCTTTCTGTTTATTTTTACTTGTACCTACTGCCCCAAACTATTAAATCGATAACATGTAAATTTAATTTAGTGTAATGAAAAATGTTAATGTGGCATGTTGGTTCATACTTATTTTTTTCTTTTTACCATGAACAATGTGGGTAAGCAAATATTTATATATTTTTCAATAAAATTAATAAATAAATAAATTAAATGCATAGTGCACTTGGCAAAAAGCGTATTAAAAAAATTAAGTATGAATAAACATGCCACATTAGCATTGCCCATGTCACCTAAATTATAATTACACATCTTTGCTTTAACACTTCAGAGCAGTAGGTAAGTGCAACAATAAACAAAAGAACCTAAAAGAACATATAAGAACAATACAAGGATTAAGTTTGTTCAATTTTTGAGAGACTAATTTGCACATCGTTAGATTGTGCAGGAACTCTACAATACTTTGCACTTCTGAGGTAAGCTAATATATCTCTATCAATCAAATAGCTTTGAATGAGAATCTAAAAATTCACTCAAGACGCTTTAAATCAAAACCCATAGGGTCCGTTTGGCATACGGAATTGATGGAATTGGAATTGAATTGGAATTGAAATTCCACGAGATTCAATTCCATAGAATTGAATTCACCAATTCCAAATCATTTTTTGCACTATCAATTCCAAATTCACATAATTTTTCTGCTACCAAACACTAGAATTGAAATTGAAGTCCTCAATTCCAATTCCATAGTTTGAATTCCGTGTACCAAACGGGGCCATAGACAATTTAACAAAACATGAATGATTGACAATGTATATATTTTCTGTCGTATGTGGAAAGAAGATTTCAATCCTCCAACAAAGCAACATTGATGGCCATCGAAAAGTAAACCAGTATAACATAACACACGAAACATACTTGTCATATAAATCCGTATAGATTTAACAATTACCCATAGATCTGTGGGCGGAAGAATCGTCACACAGGGAGGTCACCAACGGAGGCAATGACCGTGGGGGCAGTGGCATCAGGTTTCGACCTAGGGTTAGAGTTGTCCGGATCGATATGCGAAGGAATAGGAGTATTGAGCATGAGGGGAACATCCTTGGCCTCTTCGCCGTCCTCGTTGTCGCTGTCGGACGTGTTGAGGTTGACACAAGAACAGCGTTCCAACGACGCGAAGAACGCTGATGCCACACTGGACCCCACCCACCGAGCGAGACCGTCCAGCTTCTCGATGTTCGAATTCTCCATATCTGATCAACTGAGGACTTACGGTATTCCAAGAAGTGATCGAATGTATAGAGAGGAGCGACGATATTCCAAAAAGTGATAGAATTTGTAGAAGCAGATCCCCTTTGGAGCGAGGAAAGAACGAGATCTGAAGAGAAATGGCGAAGAGGTCAGAGAACGAACTTTTTTTAAGAGTATTTTTTTGAAAGAAAAACCAATAGAGAGTATATCACTAACACCAATGTATTTACTTTAACTAGTATCATACCCGTGCGTTGCACGGGTCATGGTTACGTTAATAAATTAAAATTATTTTTAAAAATACGTATATATTAGAATGTATGTAGATATTTCATTATTTTAAAGTACAAAAATAAAATGATTTACAAATTTTGAAAGATTTATTTATAAACTACATTGCGATTTATTACTCATGAAACTGCAACATACAGTTTTCCATGACTAAAAACAGGTTTCCATAACAATAAGACAATAAGTTTTAGATATTGTCCCTGGCAAAATTCAATAATTTGACTTATCTAAGCAATAATTCAACATATTAATGTATTTATTTTGGAATTTGTAGTTTTTTAATTTTATTTTCGTATTTAAATGGTACCGTTTACTTACCCACGGTAATTATTTTCAGTTTTTATTTAGATCACTTACCATTTTTACACGTGCCCATGCTTGTAAATTATACTCCCTTCATTCTCAAAAAGAATTCCTACTTTGACAAAGTGTAAAAATAAAGAACTGTTAAATTGTAGTTGACTTCAAATTTTGTCCTTGATGTGATGAGTAAAAGTAAGATGTGATGGATACATTAATAGAGAAAAAGTATAATGTGATAGGTACGGTATGAAAAAGTAAAGGTAAAAATGATTTTTTAATATAAAGTGGAAGTATTTTGTTGAAAGTGAAAAAATGAAAGATGAAGTATTTTTAAGAACGGATGAAGTAGTATTAATAGTAGTATAGTACTAATTTTAGAATACTTACCATTGTTACATGTTTTTATGCTTATAGTATTAATAGCATTAATTTATAATTTTTTTTATTTTGCATTTAAATGGTAGCATTTATTTATTGTACAGTATTTAATTTTTAAGTTATTTGATAACACTTACGATTTTTACATGTTTCCATGCATGTAAATTATAGTATTAATTAATAGTATTAATTTGTAGTTTTCTATTTTATTTTTGTATTTAAATGGTATCATTTACTTACCGTACTGTATTTATGTTCTAATATATTTTAGAACACTTACCATTTTGATATTAATTTTATTTTCTAATTTATTTAGAAAACTTACCTAATTTATTTTAGAACACTTAACATGTATTTTATTTTTGTATTAAAATGGTACCATTTGCTTATCGTGTTGATATACCGTATTGTATTTATTTTCTAATTTTCTAATTAGAACACATACCTTTTTTAAAACATTTTAATGTTTGTAAATTATAGTATTAATGTTAATTTTGCAATTTTTTAGTTTTATTTTCGTATTTAAATGGTACTAATTACTCACTGAACCACATTTATTTTCTAATTTATTTTAGAACAGTTATCATTTTTAGATGTATTTTACTTTCTATTTTATTTGATAACATTTACCTAATATATTTTAGAGCACTTACCATTTTTTTATTTTCATTTTTAACTGGTGTCATTTGCTTACCGTACGATGCCGTATTTATTTTCTAATTTTCTAATTAGAACACTTATCATTTTTAAAAGGTTTTCATGCTTGTAAATTATAGTATTAATATTAATTTGTAGTTTTTATTTTATTCTTTTATTTAAATGTTACCATTTACTTACCGTACCATATTTATTTTTTAATTTATTTTAGAAAACTTACCATTTTTACACGTTCGTGCTCGTAAATTATAATATTTTCTTTGAAATAACTAATTAATTTGTACATAGTTTTTTTTGAAATAAATCATTCTAATCTCGCCTATACTTTATTAATTTGTAGTTTTTTAATTTTATTTTCATATTTAAATGGTACTGTATTTTATTTCCATACTATAATTCCCCAGTGGTTCACTATTATATAATTTTTTTATTTAATTTAAATATTTTAATGGTGTAACATTTAAATAAAAATGAAAACATACTTAAAATGGAAGGAAAATATTGAGGCAAAATAATTAAATTTCCTTTTTAACACGGTATTAAATTTAGATCTAAAAGCAAATTAATACTCCGTAACATGGTATATTGGTATTCCCTTTTTTACAACCACCAAGGCACCAATACACACGGTTTAATAATTTAGAAAGTTTTCCTTTTTCACACGGTATTAAATTAGGAATTAAATGCACAGGAAAATTGTATTAATATGCACGGATTAATAATAGCCGTAGATTAATCAAAGTATATTTAAATCAACGGTCCTTAGATGTTCATCCTTGGGCGGGAAAAAGAATGGGACATAATTCCCCTGCTTTTAAGAATAAGATGATGAGTCAGGTTAGGGGTACACCACTTGTGTACCCCATGTGCGTACACCATATACTCCCTCCTCCCCTCTTCCCTACTCTGCTGCATGCCGTCGGTGCTACTCTTTGTCTTCCCCTCGCCGGCCGCCGCCACCATTGTTGTGGGTCTTCAAACCCACTGCCGTCATAGTACATCAATGACTCGCCATTATTTGGGGTATAAAATCCACAAATTTTAATTCTCTTATTATAATTATTGAATTTTAATTTTTAGGCCTTTTTAATTTTTAGGTTATTTGTGTCACATGAATAGCTATTTATCCTTTAGGAAAATTGTGTAATTATATTTAAAGATTGGTCTGTAAGATAGATATTTGTTTACTCAGTAATGAAAATTTGTGTTTTTTGTGCAAAAAAAAAAATATTTTTGTGATAGGCTTGATGAGTATTCTAATGTCTTTTAGTTTGGTCCATAATGTAAATTATTAAGCTCTTTATTCCTAGATAGTTTTTAAGTTGGATGTAAATGATCTTTTAAAAAAATCCTGAAAGAATTCCTTGTTTAGTACTCCGTAATAATAATGAAAGAATTATATACATACAAAGGTATTAATTGCAAGTACGATTGTTTATTATTATTTCCATAAACATGTATTAATTGCAAGAATTTTGATATTTTCTCTCATACTTTTGCAAGCAAGTTACATTAAACCCTTGTTTTAGTTGTTGATTGCTTTAATGTTCAATTTTTGAACTAACACAGACATTGTGATGTAGAGAATTTTGTCAAACAAGCCTGAACTGTTTGTGAATCTTTTAAAAAAATGAAATTTTTTTTGGGACATAGTCATTTAATGTTACTGGTTGAGTATTTTTTGGATTAGACATACTTCGTCGCCACCTTTATCAACAATAGGAAGGATCATAAGTGATGTTTATACGTGCACATATTTTTACAGACAATATGATATTTACAGTACTATAACATAGACAGAGAATGTATGTGTTAATTGGAACTCAAGAGTTTGAGTGTTGTGATGAATGTTTTGATGTTTGACAGATATAGTAACATCTGGATGTTATTAGACCATTTTGGACCCTACATGTTCGAAGTGGAAGAGCGACCACGTAAGATTTGATTTAAGTCAACAAAGGAGAAAATTACTCGCAAACAAAAGGGTGATGCAATGAAGGTAACGAAGATCCATGTCAAATGTCAAAAATAATAAATGTCTGTGTATTAAGAATTATAGATTTTTTGTGAAACATTCTTTATGATAGCTTTATTTGGTATATTTGATAGATGTAATTTTTTATTTAGGTTTTACAGACAATAAGTTTCTGTTTACGATGAATTTGAATTACAGACACTTGTTGTCTGTGTGACCAAAACATACTCCGTACTTAGTTTATTTTTCCAATATAAGAAAACCATCATGAAATATTCTTATTATTGTATTATTTGGTATATTTGACAAGTGCAATTTTCATACATTAAAAGTAATTATTAAATGTCTGTATTTAAATGATTAAAAACTTACGGTGTATGTGTGACCAAACTAAGTATACATTCCAACCAATACATTGCCTAATAGTGAGATTTATTTTTACATGCAGTTAATTTCATTAACTAACCAATATACAGACAGTAAGTCTCTGTATTTAGGCATTCACAGAAATTTAGTGTCTGTGATTACACTCTTGGTGTTTGTGATTAAAAAATCAGACTATAAACGTTTAGGAGTTCCATTTGTCCTTAAGAAAAACAATCCCATCAAGATTATTTACCATTGCAAACAAAAAATGTTTATGAAGCAAACACAAAAGATGTGTAGCATCTTGAGTCCATGTCGATTAGTATGGTAATGTAATACATATATATAATTATAGACAAAGAGCGAACAAATAAAAAAAACTCAGACTGAGTGAATCCTAACGGCTAAAAGCCTAAGGTAATCCTGAATTACATATAAATTTGAGAGCAACTCCATATAGATCAATAAAAGATTGACCTGATTCAATCACAAACATGGAGAACGAAAGCCGAAGGAGCAAGGCAGGGTTCTATATCAGGCTGCAAGACATCATTGAACAAGACAAGTAAATCTCATAATCATTAGAAGAGGTTCTAAAGCTTAGCTTAGAGAGGCCATAACAAAACCCATATATGCCATATCATAACAAACCAAAATAGTCCAATTAGTGATGTAAATACCACTTCAAATATGCACAAACGTTTAATAACCAAATACAAATAGATTAAACACTCACATAATTCTAAACTGCTAAAATTCATAAATTTCTTGTGCAATTGAAACAAAGTAAAACACTCACATAAATTGTACAATAAACACATTAATGGAAACTCCATATCTTTTCATTGACCAAACTCATATATAATCTTATTAGAAATAATTAACTTTCACCGAAAATGTGCACCGGTGAATAAGTAATTCAGAGACACTATGCAATAGTGTCAAAATAAATCAGGCGATGCTGACACAGACACTAAATATCTGTACCTCACTACCAAAGACATTTAATGTCTGTGAAATCTGGACGAAAAATGTAATAAATTTCTGGTCAACTATATGACAAATTCGGGGTACACAAGGATCTAAACTTAGTTGAACATATGACAATAAGCCTCTCATTTCAGGTTTCAAAACACCTTGAGCGTCTCATTAAATACATGATACGAAGCAGGCAAGCAATTAACATTTAAAACAGACATATTGCGTCTGTGAGTAGGAGTTCACATACATTTACCATTGTTTCCAAAACATGAAAAAATTGTAATTAAGAACTTAGGTTTCATAATACAAGAACAAAAATAATAATTCAGGAAGATAAATACATGATACGAAGCAGACAAGCAATAAACATTGAAAATAGACATTCTGTGTCTGTGAGTAGGAGTTCACATACATTCACCATTTTTTCAAAACATGAAAATTGTAATTAAGAACTCAGGGTTCATAATACAAGAAAAAAATAATAATTCAGGAAGATAAATACATGATACGAAGCATGCAAGCAATTAACATTGAAAACAGACATTCTGCGTCTGTGAGTAGGAGTTCACATACACATACCATTTTTTTCAAAACATGAAAAAATTGTAACTAAGAACTTAGGGTTCATAATAAAAGAACAAAAAGTAAATATTCAGAAAAATAAATACATGATACGAAGCAAGCAAGCAATTAACATTGAAAACAGACATTCTGCGTCTATGAGTAGGAGTTCACATACATTTACCATTTTGTTCGAACATAAACATGAAAAAATGTAATTAAGAAGTTAGGGTTCATAATCCAAGAAGAAAAAGTAATAATTGAGCATATTAATACCTGGAGGAAATATTTCGGTGAACTTCAAAATGCTTGGGACGCGTGGGACGGTGGGGGCGGTGGAAGATCCACCATTGGGACGCCTGGCTTGTTCAGGGTATCTTTATTTCTCTTTTATGTACCCAATCTTGTGAGAATATTAATAATTAAGGAAGATTGAAACCCTAGGGGAGGGGACAAAGATGAAAACTTAAATAGAGTGAGGGATGGTGTACATCAATCACCGACGATAGTGAAGAAGTGTTTTTGGTGTGCGGGGGAGGTGCAGAGGTTTAGGAAGGCGTAAGGAGAGAGAAGGCGCAGGGAGAAGGTGCAGAGAGAAGGAAGGCGCAAGGATGAGGGGGGAAACCAAGAGAAAGAGAGAGAAAGAAATTTTTTTGGGGAGCAGAGTATTTTGTGCGTAAGGGGGGGTATATGGGGTACAACCGGTGTACCCATAGAATAATCCATTTACATTTGATATGATTAGTTAGAAAGAACTATATTCGGAATAAATCTCAATTATAGAGAACCACGTAGATAATTAAAATTTATTGAGGACTGATTTGGGAAAATATCTTATTACAAAGGATTATTTTGGGAATTTACTCAAAATTTTATTATAAATGAAGAGATCGAAGTAAGAAATTTCAAATTGGGAAAGAATATTATCATAAAAATAAAATTTTTTCCATATTCATACTTATTCATAGATTTAATCTCAAAATATTTATTTCACATTTTATATACATTAAATTAGTCGACATATTAGGTGTCGAAACAAATATAAAAATTTTTCATAGGTAAAAAAACTATTTTATTTATTAGTTTTCAATATTTAAATAAATATAATCAAACTAATTTCATGTAAACTAATAAACAAATATAAAATTTAATTATAGGTGAGGAGAGTGTTTTATTTGTTATAAATGAAGTGAAAAAATAGAATTTGGAAAGGATATTATCATAAAAGGAAGATTGTTTTCCCATATTTAAATTTATTCAAAAATATTTACCAACATTTTAATTTCATATTTTCCACATCAAAATTTAAGTGACATATTAGGTGTTAAAAAAAGGCTCATGAGTAAGCCACATGTCACTTTCTTAATTACATGAGTCTTATTTTTATACATAAAGGAAAAGATGAAAAAAATTTATTTTTTTCCTAAATTTTTTATATACATTATATTTATATATTTGCCTAATTTAAACATATTTTGCTTGTATAAGAATAATATTAAACATAAACTTATCATTATTAAAATTTTACTTTTTTCCTTAAAAAAATTTACTTTTTTAAATCTGCACTAAGTTAAAATTTATACTGAAAAAATATATTGTAAATTAACTAATCATCTATTTCTATTCAACTTTTTCTTCTTTCTAAATATTATTGTCAAACTTGACAATAAATTTTTTGATCTAGTTTTTAAATATTATATTAAATGTATGTGAAATTCATATAGATGTGAAGTGAGTATCTTATCTATCATTATAAGTTACCATGTAAATGAAGACAAACTTTTATTAGTTTTATGTTCAGTACTCATTATAATTTTTGAAGGAATAATATATTTATTTTATATTAAATAAAGTTATTATAATTGGAATCCGAGCAAAATTAAATAATTGGAATTCGAGCAAAATATTGTAGTAAAAAGTTTACTAAAAATTTTATTAGTTAAAAAAGAAACTTGTTTTTTTCATTAATAATTTTATTTTATTCAATACTATATTTATGTTTCACTAATTTTATTTTGTTACATAATTTAAGTTATTATATCATAAATTATTGAAACAAACTTTTAGTCAATGCTCTTGATGACATACATGTCTATTGAGATGTTAAAAAAATGTCCAGTCAGCATGCAAGATATCGTAATTCTAGAACTTCAACTCTCCTTTTTTATATATAAAGATTAGAAGATTAAGTCTTCTTCAAATGAAATTTACAATTTGACCCCTAATTTCTAAATTGATTACACTTTGATGCTCCTTTAAATTATGACCTTAAAATTGAGTAAAAACAGTAAGTCTATTAAAGAATAGTTAGCAATAATTATGTGTTGAACTAGATTGTGAAAGAGACCACGTAGAAGATCTAGACAAATCTGAGTCAAGTTGTATATTGAAAATCACCAATAGGATTAAATTTAGAAAATAAGGTCATGCGGGTGATGTCGTGCACCTGATGGTGTCGAGGGTTAAAAACCTGCGCACGGAGGTCAGTGACTCCTGGCACGAGCGAGCGGGGGCCTCAACCCCCTCCACTGTGAGAACTTTGGAGCTAGAGTGTGGGTTTGGGCGAGAGCCCAGATTCCATGACTCCTACAAGTATGAATTGGATTATATCTAGCAGGGAGAAGGGGTAAGTATGCGTAAAAAATGAAACTTAATTATAAAGGATAATTAGTGGTATAGTTGATAATGATACTTGCTGATTCTTCTGATATTGTTTGATTATGTATTAATGGATACTAGTCTATGAGTTAGTTTTAGCGTTAAATACTTCCACTGTCACTATTTTTATAGGTAGGGGTCAAGAATTTGATGAGGAGCGGCCTGGAGGACAGTGAGACGTGACGCTGGTGGATGGCCAAAGCTGCTTGTTTTAAATTAATTATATATTTGACGATCTTGTTTATTTAAATTACAAGGATGTTGGATATTGTTTTAAGGTCTTCCGCAACGTTTGAATTATTTACTCCGATTAAACGATGATTTATTTTTTATAAATATGAATTGTTAAGTTATTATTAAATAGTTTTAAAATATTGTGCATGTGAATACCAAATTAGTAGCAACCAGATTCGTTAAATCGTTGGTTCAGGCTACGCGGGTTGGGGTGTTACATTTTGGTATCGGAGCATGTGGTCTTAAAATCAATTTTCAGCCAAAAAAATTACTACTTAAAAAAAGAAAATGAATATTTCTGAAAAAGTGCATCCACAGCTTCGCGATGTCACTGCTCTAGGAGGTAGCTCTAAATCCTTTATTATGTGTGATAAGCCCGGTATGGGTTAGTACTTTTTATTCTTTTCTAGGCATTTTTAATACTTTTAGATTTTAATTTTTATTTGTTTAGCTTATTTTTATTTTAATTCTTATTTTTTACAATTATTTAATTTTCCTGAATAAATAGTAGTTTTTAATCACTTTTTACATTTTATTATTTTATTTTTATTTTTTCTAACTTAAATTATCAAATATCTTATTTGTGGAGAAAAATATAGCAAAAAGACCAAAATGCAGTTTGAGAATAAGAAGACTGATTTTGGGCCGAAGCCCAAATCCATTATTAAATCAACAACAAATTTGGCCCAATACTCCATCCTCCTCCTCATTAGTTTTACGCAAGAAGGAAAAAAAAGATCGGCTTCTCCTTCTTCATTAACGCAGCAGCGCAAAAGCCAAAATCCAAAGTGAAGAAACAGACAAATTAACTACGCTCCAACGTTCCTCCTTCGGTTTCGCTTCAATCGGCTTAGCAACGGTATTAATTCAACGGAAAAAAAGATTTCTCCAACTATAAATTGAGCAAGGAATTATCAGCGGTGGAAATGGGGAACAACGACGAAAGAGCTGCGGCTTAGGCCGCGGCGGCGGTGGTGGCCGGCAGACGCGAACCGGCGGCGACAAAAGCTCCGGCGAGCGGTGGGCAGTCTCCTCCAGCTCCAATTTCTTCATCTTCTTCAACAATTTGGGAACACTTATTTGTCAATTTCTTTTTTCTTCTCCAATTTCTTTGTAAAAGTGTTGTATCAATTTAATTTTTACATTTTTTTCCTTGTTTGTATTAATTGCGAAAATTCCAAAATGGTTGGTGTTATTTTATGGTTTTTTTAATGTTATATTAAATCCCTTATGAATGAGAATTGATTCAAGCTAGTTTTCTTTGTGCAAATTGTTGTTGAATTTAAATTCCAAATGGCTTCAATTCTTGTGCAAATTATTGTTGAATTGGTTGAATTGCACGGTTTGATTTCATAAGTAGGTTGGTATGTGGAATTTGGTTTTCATTGAAGCTATTTTAGCTCCATATTATAGTTAAATGATTTTTGAATTCATACATGATTTTTCGTTGTGCTATGTGTTTTGTAAAATTTTAAGGATTTTGGACTTTTTAGCCTCTTAAGTTGGACATTCTCCTTAAGATTCGTTATTTAGTGATTGTTATGTCGTGTATTTGTTTGTTGATTTTCATAAAATTTAAGGTTGTTTAAGCACAAAAACAATTTTTAAGTTTTTTGAAAATATGTAATGTTCTTTTATGTGAATAGACTAAAATTCTTATGCTTGAATTGTTCAAGGAGACCTGCAAAATATTTTCATTATTAGACGTTAAAGTTTATTAAAGTGTATCAAATGTTCTTCATGAATAATTTGTGCATTGGAGTTAGAATGAAAGAAAGATTCGCTCTTTTATAAACTTTTTCATCTTTTGGAATCATTGTTTGAGTGCTTGAGGTGACTGGGGGTTCAAAGTGATCCAAAATGCCTTTGAATTCTTGACTCCGGGCCTTACAAAGAGTTGACGATCCTCTATATGTGGTCAAGGATATGATTCAACTCGAGCCTTTGAATTATTTTCTATTTTTAAGTGCGTAAGTTACGTAATATATTGTCTACGTGCATATTATACGTGTAATGTTCGTTTTGTGTTCGTTCTCTTTTTAAGTTTGTTTCGGGTTTTCGGCGGTGTTTCTTGGGTTACCTAAGTTGGAAAAGTTGATTATCTTTTGAGTTTGTTTTCCCCCATTTTATCAAAAAATACAAAAAAAAATAAGAAAATATAAAAACCAAAAATATATTTATTTTTTATTCAACCCCCCCCGTTTTCCTTTTTGTTTTAATTTTCTAAGTGTTTGTTTATAGGTTATAAATATAAGTTTTTACTTTATTCTTTTAGTATATCTTAAGTATGTATTTTATGTTTACAAGTTATATTATAAGTTCTTTGTTTATATAAGTTATGTTTATAAGTTTTTATATTTATTTACTTATAAGTTTTATACGTCTTTGTTGGAAACGAGGCTTAGATAACGCAGCGGAAAACAAAAATTTATAGTCCAAAACTCGATTCCACCCAAGAACAACTTACGTAAATTACTAGCCATAGTAAGAAATTTACCTTAACGGTGAAAACGGAGAACGGAGGAACGGTCGGGGATGGTTTTGAGGAGATGAACGTAGCGCCAAACGTATGAAGCCTCCAACGTATCCACACGAACTTGCTCCGGAGTCCTAGATTAAACTTGTGCTAGAAAGTTTAATATAGGATAGTAAAAACTATAATAATACTACTTTGGGAGTAATAAATATATAGTAAAATATTTATCTTATAAATATTTCTTTATAATATTTATGTATATTCCTAACACTTTAGAAAAATAACTTTTAACACAAAATAATAATTTTCTCCTATCTCTCTCTATATGGCCGAAAATCACACACTTAAATGGGGAGGGATTTTTCTCATTTTATAACATAATATATTAAGAAATTTCTAGGAATTTGCTTTGGGACAAAACAAAATGAGATTAGTGTAATGTCCCCAACCAACACAACAAGACAAGTATATTTTTGTTAATCAAATATTTGATTATAAAATCAAATATATCATTAGGTGGAATATCAAAATATGTTTTGTAGTTTTCCCCTTAGAATTTCGGCCATAGCATATTAAAATACATTACATTTTATTTTTGCATCAATAATTATCATATAATTAAAATGATGAAAATAAAAGTAATATATATATATATATATATATATATATATATATATATATATATATCGGTGCTACACACACACACACACACACACACATATATATAAAATAAAATTTGTTTTGTCAAAATATAATTATCATATAATTAAAATGACACAAACAAAATATAATTTTTAAAATACATATGTATTTTCGAAATACATATATATATAAAATTATCACAACTATATATTTAATATTACTCCCACTAGTGTAGTATATTACTCCCTTACAAGTCCTAAGTGTGTGACCCTTTAGGTATCCATAACACTGGCAATGATATTAATAAAATTAATACCATAGATAATAAGCGGTATCTAGCAACACATTATTACCCCCAGATTATGAAAAAGACGTTCATCTCATCAATACCTTCTACGACACAAGACATTTTATAACTATTATCCTTCTGTCCTAAATGTCATGATTTAACACAAGGCATGGGATGTGTATCCTTGTATAGTTAAATCAGCTGTTACTGAATCTCAAGTAGACTGGCAGGGATCAGATATTTATCAGTCTCTAGATAGCGACATATCTGGGCATGGCCATGCACTTTCCCAAGTCCTACTATTCAGTGGGCCCATTGACATTATACTTCTATACAGTAGAAGGGACAGATCCTGTATCTGTTATTCACATCTCTAAATATGCTTAGCGGCATACCCAACGCATAACTGTACGTCTACNAGTATTTCAGATAGCATTAGTTATGAATCAAAGCATACGACCCCACATATCAGAGAATGTAATAACTTCAAGTCTGAGGATAGTTATAGCAAGGTCGATTTGAGAATACTGATAAACACATTACTGTAGATCCAAGCAGTATTCTCAAGATGGGTCAATCCAGTCACATATTATCGATATAATATGCACCTACGTACAGATTAAGATATCACAATATCTATAGTCTTTGAGACGCAACTATCTCATCTCGTACGTACTAGTCTTGATACGTTATGATGTCCGTATTATCATAAAGTGCGACTAGGGATATTCTAGACATAGCCTTCGTCAAGAAGTAACAGTCTCATAATCAGAACATCGTAGTCCTCATCTATGTTACTGAAGCGCTATCGTCTATGGACTGAAGCTATGTTATGTTACACAAGATATAAAACATACTTCAAGGCCTTTCATTCATGATAAAGTGTACAGTTGCATAGGTATTTGATTGCCGCTAGGGCACCTAAATACAACAATCTCCCACTTGCCCTAAGGCCAATCAAGCATTTCTCGAATGCCCATGGACCACGTATGACTCTCGTGTTTAGGCTTTCCCAAAGTCTTCGTCAACGGATCCGCGATATTGTCGTTTGTACCTATCTTGCAAATCTCAACGTCCCCACGTGCAACGATTTCTCGTATGATGTGATAACGTCTAACGATGTGTTTGGTCTTCTGATGAGACCGAGGTTCTTTCGCTTGTAGAATTGCCCCATTGTTGTCGCAAAACAACGGTATAGGGTTCTTGATGCTAGGAACCACTCCAAGCTCAGTAATAAAATTCTTGAGCCACACACCTTCCTTGGCTGCCTCGGTTGCAGCCATGTACTCTGCTTCTATAGTGGAATCAGCGGTAGTATCTTGCTTGTAACTCTTCTAGGTAACAGCTCCGCCATTCAAACAAAACACATACCCTGCCCGCGACTTGAAGTCATCTCTATCAGTTTGGAAGCTGACATCAGTATATCCAACAATACTGAGCTCTTCTTTTCCGCCATATACCAGGAAGGCATCCTTAGTCCTTCGGAAGTATTTAAGGATGTTCTTCAGAGCCGTCCAATGGCTTTCGCCAGGGTTGGACTGGTATCTACTCGTGACACTCAGAGCAAAGGCGACATCAGGTCTCGTACATACCATCGCATACATGATGGATCCAATGGCCGACGCATAAGGAACATTTCTCATGCGTTCTACTTCCTCCGGAGTGGAAGCACCCTGAGTCTTGGAAAGACTCGTGCCTTGGACCATAGGCAAACTTCCTCGTTTCGACTCAGACATGCTG